CCCACCCCACCCCACCCAACTCCACCCCCTGAAAAAAAATATTTTTTTATATATTTTAAGTTTTAATTTTTTCATCTTTCGGTTTACATGTTCGAAATTTTACAAGTTTCAAAATTATGAGTTTGGAAGTTTATATGTTTGGAAGTTTATGCGTACCAAACACTGGAAAATAAATAAAATTACTACTTATTTTCCAAGAAAATATTCAACGAAAAACATTTTCGGTTACACCAAAACACCCTCTATCTCTAACTTTTTTCCATCTTTGGTGTTGTGGGGTTGCAATGAATTTGAAAGATATATATCACATGTGAAACTACAAGATTAATGCTTCCAAAAATTGAGGCAAGTTAATGAGACTTTGTTTACCAATTAGGGAACTCATGGGACAAAAGTGCATAGCCAGTCCACAACTCCATTGTTGAGGAGTCAACCTCAATGTTTTTTTCTAGTCCTTCTAACCTCCAACATTTGCCATCATTTGTCAAAATGTGAAAAAGCAAAAGCCCAGTAAATATATTAAAAGACAATTAAAACAAAAAACAAAAACGGAGTCTTTGAAAGACAAAAGGTATTACATGAATGGCACGGTTGCACGCAACAAAAGCTTTGCCCTTTTGCCCCTAAAGTTAAATTCTTACTCTTTTTTTTTTTTTTTTGCCTTCTACTATATATTTCTCAATTCTCATCAAGAAATTTTGTTTTTGCAACTTCTCCACATAAAAGATGTACTAATTATTGTTCATAATATATCTTGGCTCAACACATTATCATGGTTTTATCTCGATGCCCACGTGTGAGGGCTATAAATGTACTTGAAATCGAAGGCCATGCCCACTTCATTGTCGAGACCACTTAGAGACTTTTGTCTTGTTGGAGAGTTTATTTGAGTAGAAGTATTTCTAAAGTAAGGATAATTGATGGTAAGTTTTTCTGGTTTCCTATTATTTACAAACATATTGGAACCTATTTTAAGAATAAGTAATTTTCATAAAATACTATAGTTTAGAGCCTAGAATGCCTAATTACTATTCATATCTACTGTTCAATTGTTACCAGCTTGTATGATCACTTGTATTCAAATGTGCAACGAATACAACATGTATTAAAATTGTATTCGTTGCGCAAACGAATACAATCTATATCAACTCTATTCATTCACGCAATTGTATTTATTCATGCAACGAATATAATATGTATCAACTATAACCAACGCGAAATACAAGGGTGTATACAAATGGTACAACATGTATCCACTGTATATATGGGTGTATATAAAGTATACAAGACTGTATTCATTCGCACAACAAATACAACCAAGGTGAAATACAGAAATACAGAAGAAAAAAAATACTTTTGTTGGGAGTCGGACTCAAAGACCTCCACTAACTAAGCAAGCGCTCCACTAAGCTGCGAAGGCTTATCGCTCTCTTGTTTCAGTTCAAAATAATTAATCTTTTGCTTCATGGATTTGCTATAAAATTCAAATATAGCTACGAATGATATATTTGCTGAAAGTATAGCTACGAATGGTAAATACAATGTATATGTTTGATATGTCGCGAAAATAGAAAAAACAAACCAAAAGATTGTAAAACTAATTGGAGTTTAAAATAAAAATATTAGTATTATTTAATACACTTTCTAGTCACTTGAAAGATCACGTAACAAGCAGAGTTAGTAACTTCAAAAAATAAAACAAATAACTTTCTATAGTTGATTAAACCGCACTAATAGTAGTGTGAAAATTTCACTATACATAGGTCAATATAATTAAGTTAAATGATTATTGATGTTTATATCATGCATATATTTGTACTTACTTGATAAGAGTCATTAATTACTCCTAGTAATTAATATCTATTCATTTAGATGATAAGATGTTTGAGTAGAAAGGTAACAAGGAAACTAATTATGCCCCTGTTATTTCTTTTTCGCTTCTTGCTTTAAGTTAACAATAAGAACAACAGCAAAAAGAAAATTACAAAGTGTTAATAATTCAACTACAAGTCACCGTCAAAATCTCCTTGCATCAGTTTTCAAGAAAACATGGAAGCTATGCGTCAAAGAATGAATTAAATGTCGCAAGAATGGAACGCAACTCAAGCTTTGATTAAAAATGAAAAGCAAGAAATGCAGTCAATCTACAATGGAGTCTAAGTATGAGGAGGAGACTAAGTCTGATTAGGAGTAATTATTTGAATGTGCATCTAATATTTTAGAGTTGAAGATAGAGACATGTTTAATTTATGAATGTGAGTTAGTATTTTGATAATTGGTTGATGAAACTAATATTGTTTGATTAGTTGGTTGGATTTTTATGAATATTAGTGTTCGGTTAGTAAATATTGGAATTGGTTTGTATATTAAATGGTGTGTTGATATTAGGTGTTTGGTTGACTGCTTTATTTGGCAGGTGGTGTAATTAAAAATACAACAGAATTCTGCTAATTTTTTTTCCAGATTTGGAGCTGATTTGCGACTGAATCAGTCGCAAATGTCACTAGAAATTTCTTAGATTTGCGATTGATTCAGTCGCAAATTGTGAATTTTTAAAAAAATTTAATTAACTTATTCTCAATATGTACGACTGTTTCGGTTGGAAAATTTAATTAAATATTAATTTTATTATTTAAATTTTCGACCGAATAGATAGGAAATATTATTTTTTTATTAATTTTATTTGCGACCGAATCAGTTGCAAATCTACCGAGCAATCCGGTCGCAAATCACTTAAATTCAAATGCGTCCTTTATTTTTTATTTTGCGATCAAATCCGTTAGAAACTTCCGAACGATTCGGTCGTAATTTTTTGCGACCACGTGTTTTTCGACCGATCTTTTTCAGTCGGTAAACCGTCGGAAAATTTTGATTTCCGACCGATTTGACGGTCAGAAATTAGCCTTTTTCCGACGGTTTACCAACCGAAAAAGATTGACGGTCAGAAATTAGCCTTTAGTGTTATAGGTCAATATAATTAAGTTAAATCCTTAGTGATGTTTATATCTTGCATATTGGTATTTGCACGATAAAATGGGTCCTTAATTACTCCTAGTGTTCATTTAGATGATAAGATGTTTGAGTAGAAGGATAACAAGGAAACTAATTATGCTGTTATTTCTTTTTGGCTTCTTGCTTTAAGTTAACAAGAACAACAACAAGAACAAAGAAATTACAAAGTGTGAATAATTCAACTACAAGTCACCGTCAAAATCTCCTTGCAACATCAGCTGTTTTAATTTGGCTGTCATTTTCTGGACAAATCTTGAAATAGGCATCAATTTTTCTTCAATCCTAATGTTCTTACGTGCCTTGTGGAATGGTGCCTCGGCTATGAGTGATATTTGATTCAGAAAATGTGTTTAACACGTACACACGGAATCAATAATATGCCTCATTGAATTAACCGATTAATTAATTGTTATATCCAGACAGACACGTTGAACTAATCGTCCTGCTGCAAAAAAAATAAAAAATTATATATTCTTATATATATATATATACATTAATCTGTTTTTTCTTTCTTTCTTGTAAACAAGAGGAAAACACACACACACTAGATACTCTTGTGAGACGGGTTCACCAATAGATAAAAGATAATTTCCACCAAATTAGTACAACCACTCAACCAAAAACAATTATAGAATAAAAGACACATAAGAAGGCAATTCCTTAGCCCATGAACTTGGACCACTTCTATAATGTCATAGGTGACACAAAAAATGTTTCCAATATGGATGAGAATTACAATGAAGCCAGTGGCAATATCCCAAAACAAAAGGGAAAAAAAAAATCCTTGGAAACAGCAAATTAAAAGACTGACCAAAAACATCAATCTTTTCACCTCCCACCAAAAGTAAGTACGAGTTGGGGAAAAAAAAGAAAGAAGACGCGCAAAATTAATAAGGGCAGACAACAATAATTAGAAATAAGAAAGAAAACTTTCACATAATTACGTGCGTGTGCTATGCAAAAAAAGCTTTAAAAAAACATCATCAGCTAGTAGTCAATGATAACACCAAACTTTTTATAACTTTTATTTTGGTCTCAACTAGCCAAACTGTTATGACAATATAGTCTACACAATAGGGATCTGTTGTAATTGGTTGTAGGCAAAACATTTGTAATATTATTCTTTTTTCACTTATTAAAAGGGGTGGTAGGTGTGTGTATATATGGACTTGGACAAGTTTCAAAGAGCTTTTATATATACGTGGTTTTCAACTATAGCTGCAATCTTGCAGTTCAAAATTCCAAGCTTTGCTCTAATGAAGGCTGCTCTCAAATATTTGGTAGGCATTGCTGGCCCAAGTGGCTTTGGCTCTAAATCCACTGCTGACCAAGTCACTCAACATTCCTCTCTCAATTCTCAGCAGCTCATGACTGCAATTATCACTGGTACTAATTAGTCTTATATTCTCTTTCTTTTTCATCTCTAATTTGCTTATGCTCTTGAGTTTTTGGGACGGTTATAAGGCTAAACAATATGCCTTTTGTAATTAATGAGCCAGTAATTCATAGGCAGTGGCTTGGTTGAAGGAATTTAAAGCTAGTTTTTGTAAGGCAACTGTTACTGCCTGCTAATATGTGCATGTTTGGAAAAATTCAGTTCTATCACATGAAGGAGAAAATATTCTTTAAAAGAATAATTCCTTTCTTTGATTTTTCAGCTTTTCTTTTCTCCTTCTTCTTCTTGAAACTTTTGTTTCTTTTCTTTTAGTTGATATTGTTGTTAGAGCAACTGGGAATTAAAGGGATTTTCCAGCTTTTTGAGTGGTTCTGAGAATAATCAACTGTTCGATGTAATCATAAGCAATTTAAAATTCATCATGGAATTTTGGTCGACATGCATTAACTAATTAACTATTTTGGAGAATTAATCTTTGAACAAACTACTAATACCAATTAAGAAATATTCGTGGAGTTGATTTTTCAGTATGAGATTTTTGGACTTAAAATTCTCAAGACACATGGAATTAAGATGGAGTACTTTCTTGGCACTTTTTCTTCCAAGAAGAAGCATCTTTCTCAAAAACTTGTGTACTTCCCATGACCCATTTTTCCAAAGGTTATTCCTATGTTTTTCAGATGTAGGGTATGAAATATTCATGAGGCTTCACTCATCATTTTGTACCTGATCACTTTTCTCTATCACACATAGTATTGAATAAAACAACAATAATAACAAAAAATTCAGTCTAGTTCCACTAAATAGGATAATGTGTCTGTAGACCTTATCCCTAACTTGTAAAAATAAAAAGGTTATTTCCAATAAACCCTATCATAATTTGAATAAAACCTTTCAATTTATTTCCCCACCCCGCAAAGAGAGCGAAAAAAAGAGTGGAGCTAAGGGGTGGGGTAGAAGAGGTTTTCCTTTCCTTTTCTAGAATCATACTATAAATTTTGAAGATTAACATATTCAATTCTCTTTTTAGTGTTTCTTTTTATTTGAAGGAAGATATAGTTTTGTCTCTACTTGGGTTGTTGATTAACAGATCCTACAAGATTTCCTATCTGGACAGTACTGAGTGCTAATCATATGCTATATATTCTTTAACACAGAAAAGTTCAGTATCAAAATATTTTAATAACAACCTCTCACTATCTTTCATTAATTAGTATTTTAATCACCATGCATTATTTAGTGCAGATCCAATATAGAAACCTAATTTAATACATGTCATAAAAAGTAGACAAAGAATCATGATATTGTATAATTTTTTTTGGTTTAATAATCATACTGTAAAAATTACAGGCGCAACATCAGGGATAGGGGCAGAAACAGCAAGAGTACTGGCAAAAAGGGGTGTAAGGATAGTAATCCCAGCAAGGGACTTAAAGAAAGCAGCAATTGTGAAGGAATCCATACAAAAAGAGAGTCCAATGGCTGAGATTATATTATTAGAGATAGACTTGAGTTCAGTTGCTTCTATTCAGAGATTTTGTGCTCAGTTCTTGTCTTTAGGACTGCCTCTTCACATTCTCATGTATGTATTTTTTTTCTTTTGATCACGAGTTTAAGTTATATTTATACTATAAGGGCACTTAAAATAAGGTAAGTTAACCGCTAAAACAGGTAAACGTGGCCTAATGGTACAAAAATTCTTTACATGGACATTATATTACATAAAATTTTCTTTCTTTGTGTTTTCTTTTCTTTTTAGGAAGTGAAGGGTGTGAACGTAATTTATGATTGGTCTGAAATTTTAATCATGCAGAAATAATGCGGGGAAATTTTCGCAGAAACTGGAGTTCTCTGAAGACAAAATCGAGATGACTTTTGCCACAAACTACTTAGGTAACTCCTTGTTATATACTCGGGACCATTATCTTTTTTGATGGAGTTGGGACTTCAATACCCAAGTTGAAGAGGATAACGAAGTCCCACAAAAAGAAAAATAAATAAATAAAAAGGCCTAGTGATAACTAAACTCTAGTCCCTTGTGATGGATGTATAAGAGTTTGAGTTATATGCACTAATATTATGAATATAAATATTTACATGTTAGTAATAGGTAAATTTAATATAAAAAAATAACTACCTACTATTATATATAGGTTAAACAAGACTTACGAAAATATTTAACTCTGTTAGTACACATAACCTAAATCATGGTGTTTGGACTTTGGCAGGTCATTTTCTATTGACAGAGTTGCTATTAGAGAAAATGGTGGAGACAGCAGAAGCCACAGGGATTCAAGGAAGAATAGTGAATGTTACTTCAGTAGTTCACAACTGGGTGAAAAGAGATCAATTCCGTTTCTGCAAATTGCTCAATCCCAACAAGTAATATTAATACTACTAGTATTTAATTAGTAAATATTTTCATAATTACTTCTTATACGAGATTTATACAAAGTTAGTTCCAACTTGTTCCTCTAAACTAATTCGTCTTGGTGATGCATGTCACAGTTATAATGGTACTCGTGCATATGCTCAGTCAAAATTGGCCAACATTTTACATGCCAAGGAATTGTCAAGACAATTAAAGGTTAATTTCCCTATTTATTACTTCTTCTCACTTACATGTTTTTTCACACTTTCTTGTCAGAATTGACAACTCTAAACAAACGGATTCTTTTCATAACCCAATACACTTTCTATGCATATTACCAAGAATAGTATGATATAATTAAAAGATTATTCCCAATTAGAAGCAATCAAAACATAATCTTCAGCGTTAAAAGTGGTAGCTCTCTAGTCAATTCACCAATAATTTTGTGGTAAGCAATCTAATCATATTACACGGATTTTATACTAAGCTGTTTCTCTTACCACTCAGTTATATCACATGAATCTTGATTAGACAGCTCAATACAGATAAATTCTATGCCAAAACTCAGTACATGAAATTATTTGGGTATTTTCTGTGAGAAAAGACAGTTGGAACCCGAAATTAAAGTTAGAGTACTCCTTGTACCTCTCATTAGGGAATTGTCCATCAGTTTAGAATCTGCCAGCTTCATTTGCACTATAGTATTGTAGACAAAGGATACTTCTCTTTCCTTCTTTGGTCCCTGTACTCTTTAAACCATTTAATTGCTTTTGTCTTCATATATTTGTATAATTTCGATAGTGAAAAATGTATGTTTGAATCGAACAGGCAAGAAATGCAAATGTGGCTATCAATGCAGTCCATCCTGGAATTGTAAAGACTGGAATAATCAGAGATCACAAGGGCTTTATCACAGGTATGTCTTTTAATTTTTGCTGCAAATATCAAACAAATATAACTATAATTACTGATTTCCCTTACAAATATAAACAGATTCTCTCTATTTTATGGCATCAAAGCTTCTAAAGTCAACATCACAGGTTCGTCTATATATGCTTGTCTCTTTTGCTTCATTGAACATTCCGACTACTTTCTTTGCAACTTAATTTGGACTCACATACTTTTTTTTTCCAAAAAGTTGAGGACAAATCATCTATAAAAGTAAAAAAAAGTGATTATAATAATAAGTAACGAGGTCAATTTCTTGGTATGGCAGGGTGCAGCAACCACATGCTATGTAGCACTGAGCCCACAAACAGAAGGGATAAGTGGGAAATACTTTGCAGACTGCAATGAAAGTCACTGTTCAGTTTTAGCAAATGATGAAACTGAAGCTCTTAAGCTTTGGAAGGGTACTCGTGTTCTCATCCATAGAAGATTGTTTCCACATGTAGGTTGAACAAAGCATTATATCTTCTTTTTTTTCTTTTTACTTTTGCGAAGGAGGGATGTACATGTAAATAAATAGATATACTCTTGTATATCCATGATCACAAATGAAAATATCATACAAATAGTCCAATTGTTAGCAATCTGATGGAGAACAAATGAATGAAGGTTCTTCTAGTGGTCCATTACTATATGGGCTAGAACACGCTTTTGCCTTTCTGTTTTGCACTTTTGGCATAATATTCAAGATAGCATAAATACCCCTTAACACAACTTTCCTCGTTTTACAACTACCTTACAAAGGGATCCACAACAAATTCATCACCTTTCTTTCGCATTGTCATCAACATTGCAAATACCAGCAATTCCAAAGTGATATTACAACAACTACGCGTCAGTCCCACATAAGTTGGGGTCAGTGTAATTCCAAATTGATATTAAATAGATAATTATCCTAAAAGTGTTGGCTGCACACTTGTAAACTGTTCCACTGAAAGTAGCTCACGTAAAATCCAAAAAGAATGCAGCGACTAAGCAATCTTCTATTCTACAATACAGACATTTGATACACTACAATGTACAAAAAGAAAAAGGATCTGTCTTTTGTAAAGAAAAAATAAGTAAAGACCATAAAGCTCCATTTTGGATACTAATTTACGGTAGGGGGCAATGCCTAAGCCCCACCAGTCCCACAATGGTAGTCTTTACATAAATAAAAAGAAAAAGAAAACCTTAAATAGCTACAAGTAGAATAAAATGACTAACTGGAAAGTCATATGACGATATAATGGAAGAAAACCAACAAAGCTTGGACCTAAGAAATGAAGTCAGCCCACTACAAACGTTTGCAAAGACAGCAAGCAAGGCTTTGAGCATCTGATCAGGTAGCCATTTGACCTGACTCGTTACTGATCCCAATCTTTTAGTAGAAGCAAGTTAGGTGTTTGCTTATCAGGACTCGTGAATTAACGAAAATTTATTGGCTAAGCAACTGCGCAATCATTATCATCTCTTGACCTGCCAAAAAGTGAATCTTGCACATTAGTAACCCATGCAGGGTGAAGTGCTTGCTCAAATTTAATCTAATAAGCCTTATTCAATCTATGCAATAATTGTTGAAGCGAAGATATTTCTCCCCAGATATTTCCTAGCCAAAAGAACATTCACATGAAGGTCATGAAGACATAACGAGTGAATTCTTCATGAACAGTCCTGTTCAGAAAATTCAGTCATCAATGTTGTTAAAAAGAGAATCTTTCCATATAAATGCCCTCTGCATGTGATATTAGCTCCGTAGGGTGAAACGTGGTTGACATTGGTAACCGTAACCACGTGTGCTAATTTCATTCCTATTAAGGTGCTGACACCGGTCATTTCCTTGCTTCATTGATCTGTTCTAACTTTTTCATTTGCTTCACCTAAGGATGAGACTACTTAATGAACTTGCCACCAAATCACCAGACTGATGACCTAACCCTATGCACTGGCTTCACACGGTCATGTAAATGACAGCACACATCATATCTCCAAGCTAGACACAATTATATATATCATGAGCAATTGAACCAAGAGCAAATCGACAAGACAAGATATTCAACTATACCACTTATTTGAGTCTACAGACTTCATAGAGCAAATCGACAATCAATACAAAGGACTTGCTAAAAAACAACATAATTCACTCAAAGCTGACCTTAACCAGGGAACCCTTGCTGTCTTACAAAATTCAACAATACCAAAGACTAGTCTATCTCATTTGTTTATCTGAATTACAGTATAATGAAAATTGAGCTTAATCAGTCCTCAACTTAGCTTGGCTAAACTTAATTGAATCCTTTGAATTGAGATCAAACATATCGCATGAAAATACTCCTCAGTCCCAAAAGAGTTAGTCCTCTCCTTTTTGGACAATCCCAAAAGGTCATCAACCTTCCTTACAAAAATGTTTTACTACATCCAACTAGAACAAATGTTTAAGGTATCCGCCTAATTTCCTATTCTATTTATCCAAAACACAGGTGAATATATGAACCCGTAAGTTTCCTAAGAAATGCTTGATAATTCATACTTTGAACTCTTTTTATAGTAGCCAGTAAGCTCGCTAAATAAAAACATCCAACACTGTTCCTTTCTGAGGGGCACACTGAAATCATCCATAGCATATACATTTGTGTTGGTTTATATGTGTGTATATCCAGACAAGCCAATGAGAAAAGGTTATCAAGTTCAGATGCTTGTGAACCTTTTAAACAGTCCAGTAGATAGACCTACAGGACATAATCAGTCGCAATTATTTGTTCATGTTAATCATGAGTTTTTTTTTGTTTGGATCTGCATCATATTAACAATTAACTTAGCATGTCAATGAGGGATTAAACATGTATAGCCTGGAAATCTACACTATCAGAGGAAAGAATGTAATCAATATACTTCAGAATTGCTTATCATTGATTTTTGCATGTCCCCTCTGACAGTTAATAATAAAGTCCATATGTCTACTTTTCTGCAACATCAATATCCCACACTTTACTCATCATTAGGGGTGTCAATTTTGACTCATAAGATGGTATCAAGGTCTCACCCAGACGTCAATAGGTTGGATGAGTAATCTATCTATTTAAGAGTTAAATTGGTGTAGCTCTAATCAACCCATCCAAAAGATTGGGTCGACTTGCATTACATAATTAGTAATTTTTCCCAAATTAATCTGTAACAGAAATTTGTTACAAATAGAAAAAAGAATAGAGAGAGAAATATTTTTACCAAAGGGTATAATATTACTTTCTTGCACAATATTTTTTTTTTAACGAACCTACAAATTAGAAAAGAAAAAGAACAAATGGAAAAGTGGCTTTGAGTTGAGTAGGTTGGCCTATGAGCCATTGATCTACTTATCTTGACCAAAGGGTATTTTGTACTGGTTGGGTCAATCACATATTCTTTGACTAAACACATTTCTACCCATCCGAACTTGACGCGACATCCCCCCTCCATTTGACTCCCCCCNCTTCAAGCACAAGTACATTTATTGTTTCTCTTATTCTCTGTAGCAAAGGAAATAGGAACAAATTCATAAATTTCATTTAAGCATAGTAAATAGTGAAACTGGACTGAACCTTGTTGAATGACGACAAAGTGGGAAGAAGATGATGCTCAAGTGTCTAAGAGGGCGTGACCATTCAATTTGAGTGTTTTTTTTTCTCTTCTCTTCTGGTGACAACTCGGATATAATTTGAGTTAAATTGGTTAAGTAAAATTTCTATCCAGAGTAAGTCTCAAAGATTATAAGAATAGAGAGAGAATACTCAGCGAACACCACTATGGGAAATCAACAGTAACATTTGTAAGAGAGGACAAAGCATATATAAAGGAAAAGAAAGAAAAATAGAAATCAGTTAGAGCTTGTTGTCCAAGTTTTCATATTTAATAAATGCTACCTTAAAACGAGGAGAACGCCGAAGAGACGAAGCAGATCCAGGAGAGAGGACTGCTGGCCTACCCCCTTTTGCACGGTCAAGTTTCCTGGAATTTCTGTTATGTTCAGCAGATTGATGCTCCTGTAGCTGGGATGAAAACTCACTTCTACTATCAATTGAAATGGAAGAAACCGGGGCTGACATAGAGATCATGGAAGTGTCTTGATCACGAGATGCTATGTCAGGAAGAGTTCCTGGATGCATAGATAACATAACCGTATTAACCATTATACAGGATTTGATGAAAAACTCTCCATATATTTATACACTGCCATATTCAGCCATTATACAGAATTTGATGACAAACTCTCTATATATTTATAAACTGTGTAAGAACATGCGATTTTCAGGGATTGCAAGCAGCCAATACTCTATGATTTCTTGCACAGCCGTATATGGCTCTGGTGTTACCAAATAAGGCTCATAGGATAATGGAACATAGAAACAGAAACATAAAGTCATACCATGTGCTACAGCTGCTTGAAACTTTTCTCTCATAATCCTGACAAACTTGAACAGTCCATTGCTCTTATTTAACTCGCTGAGCAGCTCGTTTGCATCATTTAGTTGTGGATCACAATCAATCACTAAAAATCCAAGCCAAGCAAAGAATTAGAGTTCTAAACCATCTTCACTTATGTATAGTTGATAAAGATTCCAAACTTACAAGTATATACATCATTCTCATGACGTACGGTAAAAAAGTATTCCTTATCCTGATTATTGGCATCAATATTGGTAAATATGAATTTCACTCCTGCAGAAGACATAGGAAATGAATGTTCAATGGACAAATCTAATTATAGAAGAAGATTGTATTTCTTTTATTGGAAAATCCATTAGTAATAATTAGAGCTTTTGGCGAGGTTTTATGGTTCAGAAAGCAAGTCTGCTCCTTTAGAATCTTAAATGTGTCCACAAGTTGGAAGGATAAACATACCATGGCCACATTCAATACGTAAACCAAGCACCTTATTGTACCACACAATAGCCTCTTCTATTTCCTCTCTCTGTTCAGCAGTCTCATTATGCTTTTCGTCACATTCTTTGAGAGCTTTTACCCACAAAAAGAAAACTCAATTACCCAACATGATATGGTGTCACTTGGTAGAGACAGCAGAAGCACACACGAAGTTATCAACATAGAAGGCACTAATAATATTCACACAAAAACCAACTTTCACAATGAAAGTACAAAGAGAGTTTGGAAAAGGAGGCACGATAAAAAAAGAAAAGAAAACCTGAACAAGTTCACGTTTAACTTCCAGCATCAGTGTAGATCTTGAGGAACTTCAAAGGAAGAAGGGACAGATAAGCATTGTTATTAATGCTACCTTCCCAACAAATTAGGTGTCTTCATTTGACCAGGCACAAGCATTTGAACTAGAGCTTTGATTTTACTACATGAAACCGGATGTGAATCCAAATACAAAGATAAAACTTCACTTTTGATGAGTTTCAAATAAATTGGTTGTCATGTTACTTTTTTTGTTATTATGATACTGAAATTGCTTTCGAAGGGTGTAAAACAAAATGAAAGTGGACAAACACCTTTAATCTGAGACAGGGCTAAGTGATAAGACTTCAGCCTAAAGTCAAATAGCAATTCTTGATAATAAAAACAAAAATATAATACTGTGTCAATTTGAGAAAGTAA